GAGTGGGTGAGAGGGAGACGGAGGGTGAACGTTGAGCGAGAAGTGAATGATGAATGCCTATAGAAATGGCTGTGTCTTTCTTCCACCCACGTAGGTATGTACGTAGAGAACTACCGACTAAGTCGACGAAAAGAGGAGGAGGAGGTCGTGCCACGAGAGGTGGTGGTGACGTTGAAGGAGGATGAGGATAGTAGAAGGTTCGTTGCCTTGCCAAGTTATACCGCACACGGGCGGCATTCTTTGCTACTCGATCGCTCTTCCCTACTTCAGCCCCTGCCACTCGTTCTTGTATATTTTTACACAATTATGCGAGGGACCACCTGAAAATATATCACCGGGTCGCGTCATCGGTACTTGACCCCGCTTATAATATCTTCGCGACGGCGCTGAAGGAGTTTTCAACAGATCTTTGGTAGACGTACGTCTATTATATGTTATGGTATAAATCGTCGCATTAAAATATACTTCGAGTGGTCGGTTGCTTCCGAGTTTTTGCCTTTTCCAGTTTAACGATCTTTCAAATGTAATAGTTCTACAATTTTTTCGTTTAAGATCTCCGTTTCCGAAAAGTCGGGCGTGAGTATTCGTTGGACACGCGTAGTTGGCTAACTTTGCTGAATGTGGAAGGTATTGTCGATTAGGTGTTGTTTTAGATGTGAAAATAAGCAGACCATGGACAATGCAGTTCTGTATTTCTTTGAAAAGTAAGTTCGAACATGGTTTGTGAGTTATTATTTTTTAGTTATTAGTTTTATGTAGAATAGTTTCTTGCCAATTATGTAGTGTCACTCATATGCAGCGAAGTCGGTGAAATCAATATGCACTTCACGGATTCTACAATTGAACAGTACGTAACTATATTGACACTAGGTTTACGGAACGTGTCAATTTGACGCATATTGAATTTTATAAACATTCTCTGGTAAACGTTAACGACGATGCTGATTGAGGCAATTATGCGAATATGTTTGCTAATACTGCATTTTTAAACATCTAATTTCTAAAGTTTAAACGAATGAACATCAATCTTTCTAGGAATAACAGAATAAACTGTATAATAAATGCCCGTAAACTTATTGTTAAACATTCTGTGTAGATTGAAAATTAAACGAATTCATAGGCATTTTTAATCTTATAAAATTCAATTGACTA